TCAATTTCTATGAATGTTATATTGTTATCCATGTCGATTTTTTTAATTTGGAAAGGGGTATTCAAAGAAATGTTTCTCCATATGTATTTTAATTTCCTTAGAACATAAATATATTTTATTAATTCCTAAATATGACATTTTCCAGGCACAATAACAGTTTATTTATTACTTTCTAAAACTCTTTCTAATACAAAACAGTATATTATTCATGGGTAAATCAAAATGAAATATCAGTTTAAGTATCCTGTATGATGTTTTCACATTTCATTAAGAACATGTTTTTTGTAATTGAATGCATATTTGTGATTATAATAATTTCATTAGACTGAATGATGGCAGATTATTGAGTAAAATAAAGAGCATTCAAAATAGTTCCACTGGCTAGAAATGATTAAAATTATAAGGATGAAACAAGATATAGTTCTCCAAACTATAATGCTGAAAATATACACTTACATTACTCACAGTGCTAGCAGACACACCGGAAAGAAAGAGCAGGGACTCTTACTGGACGAAATCAGTCATTCTCAATTGGAGTTGGCTATGCCCTTTGGGGAACACTCGGAGTTACGGGGACACATTTGTTTGTCACGACTTGGGCACAAGGTCTATTAGTGGAATTATCTAGTAGGTAGAGACTAAGGATGATGGGAAACAGCCCACAATACACAAGACAGCTTCCCAAAACAAAGAATTCATCAGGTCCACATGGTGATAGCGGTGAGTACCGCGGCCCCAATCTAGTTACTTCGATAGGTTGTGTGAATGAGCCCTTTCTCCTTCACCCAGAATGATTTAAGTACGATGAGGTTCTACGGCTGCTACATACATTTTCCATTTGGCACAATAATAATTAGAATATAGACATTAACTAATTTCAAATAGTTGTTACTCAGCAACTCTTGAAAATATAGATGCTACAAAATCTGTTAACGAATTCACATTATTTAACCAAAGGCAATGTCATTAATTCTCCATTAAATATATACTCTATGTTTGATTTCTGTCCCTTGTTATCTTTTGGTGAAATGACAAAGTGAATGGATGCCCAAAAGGTCAAAGGACAGAGGAAGGAAAATGAAGAGGCTCAAATGATGAACGATTGATTTCTGTCTCCCTTTTTTCCATTACGGGTTGACATTCGTGTTTGGAAGGTCTGGGTGTCCCCCAAACTTCATTTCTTGGAATTTAATTCTTGTTGTAATAATATTAAGAGGTAGGGCCTTAGGGAATGCTGATAAATGACAAGGGTGTGGCCCATCTCCATGGATTAGTGCCTTAAACCAGGCCGAGGGGAACTGGCTCAGCCCTCTTTTTTTCTCTTTGGCTCACCCTGCAGGTGGGGACGCAGTACTCTCCTTTTTGGCCTTTTCACCCTTTCTACTATCTAAGGATTATGGAAAAGACCCTATCAAGCATCAAATACCTTGACCTATAGCCTTCACAACTGTGAGAAAATAATCTTTTTATAAATTATTAAACTTATGTTTTATTTGTTTATTAAATACATTTTCAATCAATTAATCAACCTCAGGTATTTCATTATAGCAGAACAAATGGATTAAGACAATGTTCATCTATAATTTAATAATGGAGTCTATTATACCAATATTAAATTTAAAATATAAAGAGAAATTGAAAGTGTCGCTTTCATCAAAAAGTAAAACATCACATCATTAAGTTTAATGCATTTCCTTTTAGCTTTCTGTGTATAGGCTTTGGGGGATCCAAATACAACACCTAACATTTTCTCTGCAGTATTTCTGTTCTGACCTTTAGCCGTAGCCCCACTGGGAAAGCACAATGATCATTGGCAGAGAAGAAGACGAGTTGGAAAAAAGTCTTACTTCAGTTGCACGAGACATATTTTCTTAGCAATTTTAACTTGGAAATTCTCAAATACCTGAGAATCAGTGAGGCATTAGAAATTTTATTCTCTGTGTGTGTGTGTGTGTGTGTGTGTGTGTGTGTGTGGAACTGGGGATTGAACTCAGGCCCTTGCACTTGCCAGAGAAGCGCTTGTTCTATTGAGCCATCTCCCCAGCCCCTAGAAATTTTATTCTTTGCTTTTTATGTTAGAATTTTTGTCATGCTGTGAGCTTGCAGTGAAACCTAATGATCTTAATGAGATTAAACATTAAAATAAATAAAGGAAATGCCTCTGAATTTCAATTTCAACTGGTGTGTAAGGTGAGGAAATCCTGCCCCTGTGGTTACTTTTTCCAGTTCATGAGGTTGCTAGGGACTAGTTAGGTGTCTACAGCAACCTATATTATGCATGCCACCTTTTTATGTTCACTCATTTGACAGGGTTTAAAAGAAAAGTTAAAATATACTAGTGCTTATTAGACACTGTTCCATGTTATAAAATATAGTGCTTATTGTAGGACCACACATAACTTTAAATTAAGACCTTCTGGAAATTATTCTTTTAAATGACTGGAATACTTTTCTATAATCATTTGTTGGATATATTCCACAAGAAATATCTCATATTTTTCTTTCTATTTTAGCAGATTGGTAAAATAATTTAGTCTCTAAATTAATTGCTTAGTAATTAACTTGTTTCGATCACTGTATTTGAGAAGAGAACCATGTCTTATAAGATAACAACATATGTTTTCTCATTAACAGTTTTTTTTACTTCAGTATAGCTAATATGCTAATATATTTAAATGTGCCTATTTTTTATATTTTATAAAATTTATATATAGTAAATTTCAGAAATTCTAAGTGCACAGTTGAATTTTTATATATCTATATATCTCTTGGTTATATATGTAAACACTACTCAAATCCAGATGTAGACTATTTATTTACAAAGTTCCCCCTTGCTTAGAGGTACCCACATATTCTAGGTGAAGACTATGCCAAATCCTGTCATCATAAATTGTTTTTTGTTTGTTTGCTCAAAACTTTATACAATGCAAGCAGGCTCAAGGGCTGGGGTTCGATCCCCAGGCCTGATGTGCCAGCCCCGCCCTTGGGGGCGCACTGAGATAGCAATTCAGACTGGGCGTGGTGGCGCGTGCCTATAACCCCTGCTGTAAACAGGCAGATCACTATGAGTTCGATCTAGTAGTGAGACTCTGAACACCCTGTAGACCCTTCCCTAAAATACAAAAAAAAAAAAAACAACTTCATATAAATAAAATATGGTATATATCTAGCTTCTATTAACATAAATATGAAAGATTTCTACATGGTGTATTAGAAATATTTATTTTTAAATATCTCTTGTACTTATCTCTTTTGTTATTGAATTGCTTTCAACTGCCAGCTATTATGAATAAAACTCATACAGGATGGACATATGAATTCATTTATCTTGGGAATATACCTTGTTTATCCTATAGCCCTCTGGGATATCTATAGAGTTAGTAAATATAGGCAAAGTTTCCCAAAGCCACCAAACATTTCACCAGAGGTTTGTGAGAGATTATTCCACCAAAATAGTAAAAATATTTAGTTTGTAAACAATTCCATATACACAAACACACAAATGCTTACAAAACCCAAATCTTCCTCTAGGTTTTTGTTCTTTTTTTTTTTTTTTCAGCATTTTTTGGCATGGCTTTATCATTTGTTTTCCAATTTGGAGAAAGATGGAGCAACTCAAATAAAGCAAACTGAAAAGTGGAAAACTAGAAATGGAATGTATTTTGAAATTTTCTCCAAACTCTAGCCCAGTATTTCTTCATCAAAACAAATATTAACATTTATTCCATTAAGGTGACATTAAATAAACATGGAAATGTAGCACCCTGGATATATTTAATTTATATTAAATTAATAAGAATCAGGAAGTCATATAGCAAAAAATAAACATTAAGTTTAATCCACTACTTTGTAAACCTATTTGTCCATGGAACCCTGTTCCGCTCTGCCTTTTATGTCCAATTATATGTATTCTTCAAAATGGTCTTTCTGTATTGCTTTACAGCATTCTTCAGGGCAGCCAAAGTGAAAGCTCTCTTACTTTAGTGATAATTCATAGATACATGTTAAGTAATTTATTGCAAAGTAAAAAATTCCAGAGATATACCTATATTCCTTATGAAATGGTATGAACTTCAGGGGGTATAGAAGGGATAGCTTTGATGAGAGGGGTGAGGATTATGGCATTTGGCCAATAAATAAAAATACAATCACACATGGCCCCCGTACTCCCCTCAAGACCCAGCTAGACATGTCTCTCTAAGTCATCCTCTGGCTCTCAAAGCACCCCGCAGTATATTCACCCTCTAATATGACACGCGTATGTTTGCAGTTATGCTTTCTGAGTGGTTAATGCCCATTACAACTTGCCTGGAATCATCTGACTTAAGGGTGTTTGTATGATATAAAATAATATAAAAGAGCACACATATAGTATTACAAAAAAGCAAAAGCAGAGGAAAGAACCATCAAACAAGACAAAAATCTCAGGGTAGCAGTGACTCTTCTCCAAAAACAACAAGGCTACAAAATGATTTGTGCTTCTGAAAGGAGACAGTATAGCCTTAAGAAGTGATTATGGTATACGAAGTAAATGACAAGGTAGCCATCCTCGGCACATTTCATTTCACTCATTCAGTATCCCTCTGTGAAAGAGTCCATGAGTTTTCTTCCCATTCTTTCAAATGAATTCCATTGAATACAGTTTAAAATGTCAAAAGTAAATCCAGGGGACAAATCCAAGAAAAACAGCACAATTTAAAAGAGAAATGTGAAACCGATTTCAAAAGTAAGTGTTAGTACTCAGACATTTTTTAAAACAGTAACCACAATCAATGCCCTGAACACAATACATGCAGAGAGTAGCCACCAACCAAGAAGAAAACCGTTCACAGTGAGGTGCCCAAGATACCTGCCTCGTACTCACTTCTGGTGTTTTGCGGAGACCACAGTTTAAATTTAAGAGCCTACGACTTCTTGTAACAATTTTCGTTTGGCACCTTTCACCTGGGTTAACAAACCATTTCCAACTGAGCTCAAGTGCAAGTGGAGAACTCACTTACCTGCACAAAACCACAGGCATTAAAGCCCTCAAAAAAGGGCAGACTTGGGCGGTCTTCTCTATAAATGGAGAATTTATACGTGATCACAGTCCCGAGCCCTGCTGGAGATTCATCCACCACCAGCATTGAAATTTTATTCATTCCTAAACCTAGAGGGTATTTGGCAAAGCTGGGGGTAGGACAGAAAGAGAATTGAGAAAGAGTGAATAAGAACGGCCAACATTTATTCAGCTCACACGAATTCAGACGTCAGTATTTATTACCTACTATATGTAAAAAACAGGTCTTTACTATTTCACAAGAAATCTGAACTAGAAAATTTTTAATAAAATTCTGTATATATATAAAACTCATGATCTGGTATCCATGGAGTGTTAGATGTCCAATAAATGGTGGCTTTTTAATTAAAATTATTTAGCGCTCTCAAGGGCTAAAGAAGTATCATACCAAATGTACATGTGCACAAAAGCACAGTTGCTTATGTAAGTCCTCAAATGATGGTAGGTTTAAATAGCCCTCCACAAAGATTTACCACAATAAAAATGATATATTTTTGATTAATTACATTCCTTCCTTTTAACTTTTTCATCTTGAACTTTTATAGAATAAAAAATAGAAGATATGAAAAAAATCAAACCTCTGTTTCATTTTACAGTTATAGCCAAGAGCCATCTTGCTGGACAAACTACATCCTCCATCAATTAAATGCAAGAAATTAATATTAATCAACCACTTTTCACTGTCATTTATCTCCTTTAATAGTATAATAACTGCACAAAAGACATGATGGTTGCTATTTTAAATATAGAACCACTATATGGAGTTAGTGAAGAAACTGCTCTAAATTCCGGAGGTCAGGCGCCAGCCTCATGACTTAGAGCCTCTGTTATTTCTCGTGGACTCTGGCTGCCAGGAATGCCACACGAATTTCTTTCTCTATAGCTGGGAAACAGCAAGTATTTTCCTCAATGTGGACACAGCGCATAATAAAGTCCTAGCCTATGTTCGAAATTACGGATTGAAGAATTGGTGATTTTCAAAGTAGATACAAATAAAAACTCCCTGCAAGAGTAGGACAGTTAGTGGTCCTGTATCTACAAGTTACCATCAACATGGTTAAGCGAAGAACTCCTGACTAGTTAAAGGACTGCCGTGAGGTAGAAGGACTGAACTGCTCACCCTGGCGAAGGATTAGCTGCCGCTGTCTGGCACCGGGCGGATGAGAGTGAAGACACGCCTTCACGCTTTCTCACCGCAGTGGGTGCTGCAAGCTCCTCTCCCACTATGACAGCACTGCCCAGGTAGCTGCAGTCTGCTAGTACATCAGCGGAGCACCAGCAGATTCTTTTAAAACACTTAGTGCCTACGACGCGGAGGCTGTCACCCCAACAGTGCTCCTACATGGCCTGTGGCTCGGCGCTCCCCACCCTTTCCACGGTTGCTTCGAGGGCCTGTTTCCCAACGAGCCAGCTCATTGGTTCCCAGCCAGCATCCCCTACCTGGGTCCCAGCCGCTCCTGCAGGTGCACCTGGCACTGGCACTTAGAAGTCCTTGCCCCGATTGTCACCATCACCACATCAAATGGGACTTCCGAGTAATAGTCTCTGATCTTTGCATCAAATTCAGGATTTAGGTCCAATTGTGGATGTGTGAAGATCTGCTTGAGATGGCATGGCGTGTCTTTATCTGATTAAAAACAAAAACAACAAAGAAAACTGTGAAATGGGTAAATTATTTAAAACCTTTTATTACTATGGTGGCCCCCCAGATCCTTTGAACAGTTTCAGTGATCACTGCCGGCTGCCCGTCCACTCAACATCTTGGTCATAGCTGATTTAGCTTCAGCTGGATTTTCAATTTGTCAAATACAGAATTTACATATAGCAGCTGTTGCTGTTAGCTGGTGCTATGCGATGGATTTTTCCCCTCCACCCGTGACAATTTAAAGGTACAGAAGGTGGAGAAAATGTCTGCCTTGGGAGGTGACGTGTGCAAGACCTACGGCATGTATCAAGCAATGATGGAAATTTGGGCAGCGGCTCTGTGGGAGGGTGAGAGGGGAGCCAGCAGGCTCAGAGGAAAATTTCCTCATGGGAATTGTCATTAAACTGTCACTAGGTTGATATAGTAGTTTACACACAGCAAGGTGGAGCAAAGAATGTCAACTCTAGCACTGTGGTAAACACTCACACAGAAACACCCGCAAGGGCATCCTTTCCCAGGCCATCTCCTCATGAGAAACTGCCCTGAAGTACGAGAAGGAAGTTCTATTTTCTGCTCAGCCCTTTTCTGGAATATAGAATATGATTTCATACCATTGATTCAAAGACTTTAAGGAAGTCTGTCTCTTTCATAGCACCATTTTTTTACAGCAGAGTCTTGGTGAGAAAAAAGGAAGATAGCTTTGGAGGCCCATGGGGTAACAACCTCTATTCAATTATATTGAATATACATGTTTAGAACTTAGTCAAATGTTCTTCAAAGAAATATCAAACAGTATTTTGTTCCATCAAGGTTTTGGGGTTTTTGTTTGTTTGTTTGTTTTTTCTTGGATAGATGATAGTATTTCAGAAAAAAAACAAGATAATTCTATAGAAATCAGCAAAATGGAAATATCTTGCATTGTCTTGTGTGATGTGTTCAGTGATGTTTAGCAACATATAAACACAAAAGACAAGGGAGTCCACTACAGAAATCTATAAAGCTAAATTTAGAGAAGAGATTATTGTGTTAGTTGCTTCTTCCTCTTCTTCATGCAGCTTCACAATGGCTTTTCTAAAATCAAATCTGGGGTCAGTGAGATAGCTCAGCAGACTAAAGTGCCTGCTTAGGGAATCTTAGGCAAGCATAGGGACCTTGGTTCAGTCATCAGCACCATATGCTGCACTGGCCCCAGCCCCAGGGCAGGCTGAGAGGGCCCCAAATCCAGATGTAGTGGTTCATGCCTGTTATCCCAGGGCTGGGGAGGCTGAAAGCATGAGGATTACCACCAGTCTGAGCTTCATAGTGAGACCCTGCAACAACCAAATACATTAAAAAATAATAATAATTAAAAAATCTGATGATTTGTCTCCAATTTTTGAAAGGTCATAGTTTTATAAAGATTCACTGAAAGTTTGCTTTGCTAAAGTTTACAGTTGTTACTGTTTTGATCCAAAATGTTTCCTCAGGCTCTCTTGGGCACAGAGGTCAACTGAATCAGGAGAATGCTACACTCATCAATGGACTCATCCAGGCCTGAGTTCAGCACTAAATAAATACACTTCTAAGAAGTGGACTCCCCCAGAAGAAGTGGGTGCCTGGAGGTGTGGCCCAGCAGAGCGAGTTCTTCCACCTGGACCCTCCCTTCTCTCACTCCACCACACTCTTCCACCACATCATGTCTGCCTTAGAGCCGGCTGACCATAGCCACTTTCAGTTGTGGGTGTCAGATACTGTGCCCAGGGATGAGAAAGAAATTAAGACCACACTTTCTACTTTCCTTTTAATCTTTCACTTAAACAGTCACGGCCTTCAGATCAGTTCTATTTAGCATGAATAAATGTGCAATTATTTTCTCAAGCAGGATTTTGGCAAACTCTTATTTTTTTTTTCCCCAGAAAGTCTCTATTTCTGGCTTGCGCCCTGGATCCTAGACCCCTGCTCCAAAGGGATTTACTCTGACATCATATTCAGCTGAAGCATCAGACCTGCTGCCTACAAACACCTGGCACTTCCTTGGCGTCTTGCCCACCCCAGTCCCAACTTGCCTCTGGCCAGCTTACCTTAGATCTACAGAGAACCTACCATGGGGGCTGTGGCCTCAGGCTGCTCACCCTATTTGGCATGCTACAGGGAAAGCTGTGCCAAGTTATGGCTGTCTCAAATGGATCTCTTTTAACCATAGAATTTTATTGCTCTCTTGAGGGATAATCGTAATTCATATTAAATACAAAAACAACCAGGAATCTTAGAGGTAATCCTACCTGTTCTGACCCATAATCAAACATTTTTAAAACATCTTAAAGCGTAAGAGTAATTAGGAAAATCCAGATGTTACCAGTTTTTATCAACATAAAACACTAGCAGCACCACAGACATTGTCTAACATGGTTACCTGCCTTGTTACCTAAACCTGAAAAACAAAACAAAAACAAAACAAACAAACAACAACAAAAAAAGAGTTCATTCAATACAATTCTTCCATTTCCAACTGAGAACAGATTCCAGAGGAGGTGAAGTGGCCCAAGTGGTGTCTCAGTTACTCTTTTCTCATGGCTGGGACAAAATGCCTCACACCCAAAATGAAGAAAGGAAAGATTTATTTAGCTCACTGTAAGTGGAGGTTTTAGTCCACACTGGGCTGGTTCTAAGGCAGAGTGGCACACAGCAGAGAGCAACCACTCAGGCAGGGGCAAAAAAGCAGAGAGCAAAGGGAGTGACAGCAGCGCAGGCAGCTAGCCAGGTTCTAATCCTTCCTCGTGCTGTAATGCAGATTACCCGCCCCAGGGCCAGGGTGTAGCACATACACCTGCAGTCCCAGCACTGGATCAGAATCAACCATAAACTCCAGAAGCTGCCCCACGACTGCATGAGGCTTTGGGGGGACAACTAGACACACACTGTAACAGGTGGGAACTGGCAGAGTAGATGCCCACCACATGGTAATTTTTATTTTGCTCCTAATTATCTTATTAGTCATTTTCTACCACTTTCTAAGCAATACTGTCTCAGGGGAATATAAATCAGTATTTTTCTGAGGATAGGGGACAGGCAGTGAATACAGGAAAGGTACAGCATATATAATGCCTATTCTGTGCTCTCTATTAACAATACTTTATGTAAAGTGTCATTTTAACTGGATGCCTTTGTGAATTCTATTAAATTCTATTACTATATCAGTCTGCCACGATTGTAGTAGTAGTGTTAAAACATTATGAATGAAAAAAAAGCATTATGAATGAATCTATTTGTATTTTGAAGATACATCCTACTAAATTATGAGAATTTCTATTTATAGAAAGTTAAACCTAAGCCCACACATTTTATTCACCTCTAATGTTTTAATTGGAATTGATTTTTCTTTGTACAAGATTAAATTACATAGTTTCAGCACCAAATGCATATTTATATTTATATTT